TTGTTGCCTGGTGTAGGAGCAGGCGGGGGAAGGTGTGATGGTGTGGTGTAGCCGGCGGTTTTTATCGCAGCTTTTCACGAATGCGCATCTGACTTTGTAAGCTCTTGCAGTGGTTGAGTGTGCGGGGGAATTGAGGGCAGTTCAGGCAAATACGGCGACTTTAGGTTGATGACCCAGGCACGGGCTCATCAGTCTTGACTCTCGCCTGTTTTGTTTCAGGTGTTGGACACAGACAAGGATGGCAAAATTAGCAGCCGGGGTTGAATACCTCCTTGGCGAGGACACAAACAGTCCATACAAGACCTTCTTCGGACATGTCATCTTCAAACCTGTTCAAGGGCAGTAACTTGGTCACAAGCTAGGGCCCGATTTTCTAACCTGGTTTATGTTTAGCTCCCACTTCTTCTTCGTTTTCATTATTGTCCTTTGTCTGCCGAGTACAATTCTATTATCTTTCTCCAAATGTAAAAGCCAATCATTCCCTTAAAATCTTTGACAGTCTCCTCGGACATGGAGCCGAAAAGGCCTGTTCGGAGTGCCCCATCTCTAGGCTTCTTTAAGCACATTTGTGTATGCGTTGTGTATATGCATGTGGCAAGCAGCCTTCCCTTCTTGCTTTCTGCTCGCGCCTAAAAACAGCAGTTTTTCCCTAATTTACGTATGACGTAAGGACGCAGAGCGTTGATGGTTGTGTCTAATGGAATTTGCAATCTCCTTCTCGTTGCTAAGCGTATAAGAGCTGTAATCTGGCTGCCTGCTTCACCAACGTGGACTGATATTCCCAGAAAAGAAGAGCTTATCCCCTGCTTTACGTCATTATCGAAAAAAGGGTCCTCCGATAGGTGAAGGCTGTCGGAATCAAAAGGTCATCTTATTTCATGATTTTCAAGAGGCCGATAAAGGCACAACGTGGCAGACCTCAAGGTAGACCTGTCATCCTTTTGGCTTAATGGAGGAAATGGAAATTGTCATGCTGCAGGGCGGAGTACCGGCGTTACGCCTGCCCCATGTTTTTTGGTCAAATCTCCTTTTAGGTGACAGCTTAGCCATAACCAATCAACAGTCGTGGGTTGGATGTTGCTGTGATGCTTGCTCGACCATCGGACGCATCGACCCCGCACAGGGGGAGCGCACAGGTGAACACTTTTCCCAACACCAGGGTCGATGCGTCAGATGGTAGAGCAATCATCACAGCAACGTCCAAAACACGTGATGAAAATTAACGACGCGAATTTCGGTCATCAAGCAGTCATGGAACCAAGTGCGACCATCCCGGATGAAGGGGGAGCCGTGAACATTCATAAGTGTGCGGTACCATGGCCACTGCATCCTATAAATACTGCAGCCCCCTGTGCATGAAACACCCGTATCTGCTTTTGTCTCTGATGATGGGTTCGAGCAGGAATCGGAAGCGTCTGGCTAAGAAAGCTCTTGTCCTGGCGATCGTGTCTGCTTCTTCAAGAAGCTGATTTATTTCGTGTACTATTAAGTGAACTTTTGCCATATGATTTCGCGCGGTCTGATCCCAAGAAATCTCAGTGAAGCCAGGATCTCGGTCGTTCGCACAAATCACCCTAGCTGAAAGTGACTGAGTAAGTAGTATGCACTGATGAACTACTTTTCGATCTCCTTTTATATGCGAAGGAATTTTATAGAATTCAAGCACAATAATATTCTGTCTTGCATTCATTTCGTGCAAACAATAATCTTTTCCTCAAATTTTCTTTTCGAGAAGTAATATCTCCTAATTTTAAGAAGATTTTAATTCCCAACTAACTTTGCAACCTGCCGTTACGCTAGCGTTTACGGTTTAAAAACTACGAGCTGTATTCTTTCCGCTAAACAAAGCCTAACATTCATACATGCCAGTACTATAGTATCAGTAGTAGTAGTAGTAGTACGTGCAATATTAAGAGCAGTGGTAGAAATGGTAGTATTAGAAGACGTTTAGGTGTAGAATTTGCAGTAGTGGACATGGTAGTATTTGCAGCAGTAATTGAAGTCTTAGTATTATAAATAGTAATAGTATTGACTGAGCAGTAGCAATAGTAGATGTAGCATAAGTAGTATTAATAGCCGTTGAAGTACAAGAAAGGGTAGCTGTAACAGTAGTAGTTGTAGTAGTAGCTGTAGTAGTAGTAGAAGTCGTAGTAATATTAGATTACTGGTGTTAGGAGTAGTGTTGTAAATAGTATTAACAGCAGAAATGATAGTGGTATCAGGAATACTAATAGAGGCTTAAGTAATAATAGTAGATGTAGTAGTAGTAGTAGTAGTAGCAGAAGCAGAAATACTAGTAGAAGTAGTAGCAGAAATAGCGGTAGTAGAAGAAGAAGTTGTAGAAGAAGTAGCAGTATTAATAGCAGTAGCTGCACCAATAGAAGCAGTCGTATAAGTAGTAGAAGTAGTAGTATTACTAGGAGCAGCGGTGGCAGTAGTATAAGTAGCAGTAGTAGCAGAACTACTAATATTATAATTAGCAGTAAAAGTAGCGGAAGCGATAGAAGTAGAGGGAGTAGAAGTTTTAGAAGTAGTAGTAGTCGTAGTAGGGGTAGTAGTAGTAGTTGTAATAGTAGAAGTACAAACAGTGCTAGCAGTAAAAGTGGTAGTAATTGTAGCATTAATAAAGACGATATAGTTAGTAGTAGTAGTAGTATTAGTAGCATACGTAGAAGTTGTATTAGTAGTAGTAGAAGTATCAGCAGTAGTATTAGAAGTATTAATCATAGTATTATTGTTATTAATGTTAGTAGTCGTAGAACTAATAGCAATGGCAGAATCAGCAGTAATATAAGTAAGTTTTTTAAACTTTATCCGTTCAAGCCGTTGGTTTGCTTTACCCCTTGCCCGTAGCTTCTCCACAGGCTTCTTCCCATCCGACGTCCGACTACCAGGCTGCATAAGCTGTTTCGCGATTTCTGGCTCTCTTGTGTCCTCTTCGAATTCGCGCAACCGGACGCAAGTAAGTCTTGGATGTTTCCTCTCCTGTCCTCAGCATGCAGTGTTACATTGATTAAGAGGGTTGTAGTAGTAGCAGAAGTGGTGGTATCAGTTGCAGTTGTAGAAGTGGTAGTAGTCTAAGTAATATTTGTAGCCGTCGAAATCGTTATAGCAAAGTAAGTAGTAATAGTAACAGTTGATGTTGTAGTAGTAGATGGAGTAGTAGAACTGGTAGTAGTACTAGTAGAAACAATGGCAGTGGTAGGGGCAACATTAGGACTAGTATAATTAGTGGCAGAAGTAGAGCTATAAGTATTAGAAGTAATACTAGTAGTAGTGGCAGCTGTGGTGGTAGCATTATTAGCACAAATAGTAGTACTAATAGTAGCAGTGTTATTAGTAATGACAGTGGCAGAAGTAGTGTTAGCAGTATTAGTAGTAGTAGTAATAGCAGTAGTAGTAGTAGTATTAGTAGTAGTTGAAGCAGGATTAGCAGTAATGTTTTTGGCAGAAATTATAGTAATATAGTTAGTAGCAGCAGCAATAATAGCAATAGAGGAATTACCGGACGTAACAGCAGCAGCTGCAGCGACGATAGCG